AAAAAAAAAAAAAGACACAGAAACAGTAGACATCACAACTCTTTAATCATAAGATCAAACACGAATTAAAAACTTAAAGAATTAATGTACTTCTCTCACTAAAATTTTTAGTAGTCACTTACTATGAAACACTTGGGCATTCACATCAATATGCAGAAACTTTCTGCCTAAAAATTAGAGTTAGGGAAGAAAAAAAAAGGAATTACACTGTACTTCAACCACTGACTTTCCACCCCATCATCACAAATCTCCACATTTAGAATACACTGTTATTGTAAAAGGGTTAAGCAAAGGAGGAAGCACATTTCTAACAGACACAATTCTGCAAGATAAATTCAAGGGCTGAAGAGCAAAAGAAATGTTTTAAGTATTCATAATCATAGAAGTAAAGAACTAAATCAAAATTTAAATTAGATCTCCTGTGCTAGTAACTTCACATGGACTTAAAATTTTGTAGACATTTTAAGGGTTAAAAAGTTCTACTTATCCCTGTATTTACCACTTACAAATTCAGTCTTTTTTCAAAAGACAAAATCCTAAATCCCATAGCTGTTCTTAAAAACAACAAAATTTAAATCTAACTTTGGAGTAATTTATCTAAGTAAAATAAATTTTCAAGTCTCAAAATGACAAACATCACAAAATATTTAAATGACATTTGGCTACACATAATAAACAAAATTTATTGTGTGATAGGAAAAACAACAAAAGTAACTTTATTTTTAATTTCTAAAGTTTATGAAGCATTAGATAGGCCATCTGCAAACTCAGCGGACCAAAAATATATATAAATATATCTTTAGTAGGAAAAAATCAGATACACAAGTAATGTTTTATAATAAGGATATTATATACTACCTAAGATTTGAATCAGTCATCAAGAGGAAAAATATAAAATTATTTAATTAGATATTTAGCTCATTTTGAATCCATGATATCTGCTTTTATACAGATTAAATGAAGCTGACTGAAAGTTTAAACATAAGAACAATGTTTTTTAAAAATATAAAATAAGCACCACATCATATGTAAACTTTATTTAAATCTATTCAAATTTTTTAAAACAGTCTACCTGAATCCTCCTGGGCTTCTTGAGTTTCACCATCATCTGTTACCTCTAACTCTTTGACAAAATTTGAAGGAAACAATCCCAACTTGTTGTTCAGGATTCCACTCCACCAGCCTTCTTCTACCTGAAAGAGTTCACAAATCAGATATCATAAAAATTTCTTTTCATGTAAAATCTTCACCCTATGGGAAAATTAAGCTTAATTAATAAAGCAAAGTTAGCAATGTAAAACATTCCCTTTAACACTTAAGAAAACAAGATAAGGAAAATATATATAGATTAAGTCTAATTGGATTAATAATCATATATGGGATTAAACATTATCAACAGTACTTTACCACATTTACAAGGAGAATTTGCTATCAAACACAATCTATAAAGTAAACAATTTTCATGAAAATATCAGACAACCAAGTAAAATGTTTGAACAGCAAGAAATATAGTTCTGTTTTGGAATGTCACTCAAAGCCTTAGTTTGTAAACATGACATATTTGGAAATTTTTGATTTGAGAAAGTTTGATGATACAACTTACTAAATGGCACAGAAAAATCATTAAACCTCTTACTTCAATAGTTATTATCAACCAAAATATGAAAAACAATTTCTTCCTTTCAAAAATCTAAATATCAGGTTCTATCAAACATCACCCTCCAAACAGAAATATCCTCATGAATCAAATGCTTCAGAAAAATATTTGTACTCACTAATCACAAGGTTATTCAAATTCCATTAAATTATTTAATAAAATATTCAGTAACTATTTGAAAACATATAGCTTCTGCTAAAGATGCTAAAGGATTTTAATGGAAAAAACAACTTTTAATAAACTATTCACTATCAAAATTTACTTAGCAGAAATTTACTTAGCAGCAGTACATGTAATATCACAGCTAGAACAAAGGACTTTTTTCCATTTAAAATATTTTTTAATGTTTTCCGTTTTATCAGAATTGCAAAACAAACTTTTACCATAAGACATTCATCTAACAGGTACTCACGATATATAAGCTATGGTATTAACTATCAGGGAAAGGTTCAAACTTGCATTTGTGAAATCCAGTTCTTGAACAATCTCAAGAAAAAATGCAAACAGCAGATGGTAATACAATTTAAGAAGCATTCTAACAAAAGTATGAATTAAATGCTATAAAATTACAAAGAGCTGAAAGAATCAAAAAATGCTCCCCTAAAAATAAATAACCAAACCAAAAAAAGAAGAAAGCCCACTTGATATTAAAAGCTGAATAATAGTTTTCCAATAAAAAGTACATAAAAATATAGCAACTTAAAACGAAATTATTTTGGCCAAATACAGCAGCTCATGCCTGTGATCCTAACACTCTGAAAGGAGGAGGAGGATCACTTCAGCTCAGGAGTTTAAGATGAGCTTGAGCCTGAGCAAGAACAAGAGCAAGACCCTGTTTCTACTAAAAATAAATAGCTGGGCGTTGTGGCAGGTGCCCGTAGTCCTAGCTATTCGGGAGGCTGAGGCAGGCGGATCTCTTAAACCCAGGAATTCGAGGTTGTTGTTAGCTAGGCTGACACCACAGCACTTTAGCCTGTAGCAACAAAGACTCTATCTCAAAAAAATAAACATATTATTTAATTGATTGATCGAAGGCCAAGAACAGTGACTCATGCCTGCAATTCCAGCACTTTGAGAGGCAGAAACAGAAGGATTACTTGAAGCCAGGAGTTTGAGACCAGCCTGGAAAACATAGTTAAGACTCCATCTCTACAAAAAAATAAAACAAATTAGCTACACATGGTAGTGAGCACCCCCTAGCTACTCGGGAGGCAGAGACAGGGACACTGAGCCCAGGTGAAGCTGCAATAAGCTATGATCACACCACTGTACTTTGAGACAGGGCCTTAAAGCAACACACGGCCTTCTAGATCACTAAGTGTGAACCCTCAACTGAATTCAAACTATAAAGGAAATAATAAATACATAAAGTTTGGATTCAATCAAAAGGCCATACATGTATGTCTCCCCAAGATTCCAAGTTCCCCACCCCTAGAAAGTGGCTAGAATACAAGCTCTTTGAGGAAGGAAGGAAAGGCAGTACGAAGAGTTCAAAATTTTTAGCACACCTTAGGCACCAAACTGATTTAAACCAGGTGTGTGATGGGGCTATGCTGATCAAACTGGAACAGACACAACAAAGGGAACTAAAGATCAGAGAACTATAATCTATACCTAGAACCCCAACTGGTAGCAAGTGAATAGCTAAGGTTATTTAAGGAATTCTTAAGAGGCAAAAAAATACAGTGGTAAAAACTCAAAGAACAGAATGCATAGATTCATATTCATACCCCCCACCCCGGGTGTCAGGCATATGAACACAGGCAAAGATGGCTGTAACACAATCTCCCATCCCACAGATGTTATCTTGACATTCTTCCCAATAAGAAGTAGTGGTCTTTGTCCTCTACCGCTCTAATCTTAGTGGCCTGTAACTCACTTGTAAGCAAAAGAATGTTAATGAAAGTGACAATATTATTCCCAAAGCTAGACTTTAAAAGGCAATGAAGCAAACACCATGTATACAAATGCTTACACTTAACAGCTATAAACTGCCAATAATTGTGACTACCCTGAGATCCCATAAAGCTACTCCAATTGGCAGGTGTAGTCTTCAAAGCTTCTAAGCACTAGATGTGTGAGTTAAAGAGAATTCCTATGATTCTACCAGTCCCCACCTTTGAATCTTTCCAGCTAAGGCCCCTAGACATCATAGAACACAGACAAGTTAAACCCACTGTGCCCTATCTGAAGTCTTGACCCACACAGCCTATAAGTATAATAAACAGTTGTTCTCTGCCAACTAAGTTTGGAATGGCTTAGTTTGTAGCAGTAGTAAGTAGGCCAGCCAATCGCTTTCTGTGATTCAATCTCATAAAGAGGATAAAATGAGGATAAAAATGCCTATCTTGTTAGACTATTTATAACTTTAAAGGAAGTAATAAATGTGGAATACTTAGCACAATGCTTCAGACATAATACAGGCTCAAAAAATGTTAACTATTATTTTATTACAACAGGTGTAAATAAAATAGAATTGCCTTTTGTGTAAATACATTGGATGTTTACTTAAACAAAAATTAATGATAAATTACATTACAAGATGTTAGGACACTAAATCAATCCTTGTTACTATATATATGACAACATACTTTGAAAATGGTGGCAGCGGCCAAATAAAAACTTCTTGTTTAGTGATAAAAGCAGAGATGTGGAAGCTATTTTTAAAATATTTTAAAATCTCATTGTAGGATACTAAAATGTAGAAAAGTATTTTTTATTAATTTTAAATGTGAAAATCCAAACAAGGGAACTGTGTTTGTTTTCTTTTTTTTTTTTTCCAGTTTTTGGCAGGGGCCGGGTTTGAACCTGCCACCTCCGGTATATGGGGCCAGCACCCTACTCCTTTTGAGCCACAGGCACCACCCAGAAAACTGTTTTTATTAAAAAGATTCTGTTTTGTGTTCCTTTACTATAGAAAAGGTAAAACTACTTCTATTTCACTATTCTGTACCTATAGTGAATTCAGAATCAAAGAAAAGGTTCGTTTATGTTCTTAGCTACTTAGATTACATTAATTTTAGCTTTAAAAAGGTGTTTCTATTCCTAAAGGCAGTACACACATGATATAAATATTAAGTACATAGCAAGTATAAAATTTAGTAGTTAAAAAAAACGTAAAGCTGTTATAATTTTAAATTATTTTGAGCCATGAGAGGAATGTGGCTATACAGCTAGTTACACAGTGTACAGCTGCAACTTCTGCTTTGCTCATTACAAATTAAATCTCTTCCTCATTCTTGGCCTGTTAATGATTAACAAAGGCCAAATAGAGCCAGAAGGAAGACCCCTGAAGACCATTAGCTATCTTTATAGAATGTTACAGCAATCTTCCTTAGACTATAGCAAGCTGTAACCAATCAAATCACTATAATGTATGTACTGATCTTACATAAAAAGTGTTGCAACCTCCTTAGCTTCACTATTCTCTGAGTATATAGGTCAGCAGTTTTCAACCTGTGGGTCACAACCCATTTGTAACAATGAAAATACATCCTGCTTATCAGATATTTACGTTATGATTCATAACAGCAGCAAAATTAGTTACGAAGTAGCAATGAAAATAATTTTATGGTTGGGGGTCACCACAACATGAGGCACTGTATTAAAGGGTCACAGCATTAGGAAGGTTGAGAACCAAGGACGTAAGTGAAACCTTAATTCTCCCACTTTGGAATGCTAACCCAAACCCATTCTTTTGGAGTCTCTGTGACTATCCTCAAGGTTTGCATGCAAAGAAACTCTATTCTTGGGTCTATTTTTTGAATTTCATTATTTAAAGTTGACACGAGGATGAGAAAAGAAAATCTATAGCTTAAAGTTTTATTTAAAAACAAAGTAACAAAAAAATGCAAAGTAACAAAAGTTCTCACAAAAAATTCAATATTCTTCAAAAGCATTTTTCTAAACCCCAGAGCATCAATTACAATTGGTGCTTTATTTCTAACACATCTAACTTTACCTCTTCATTAATATCAATAATATCTCCCACTTTCAGCTCCAGTTCATCTTCATTTTGTGGCATGTATTCAAAAAGAACTTTACACTGACGCTTCTTGCTCTCTAAAAGCAATAAAAAATTAGGTTAAGAAAGATTATTTTAAAAAGCATCTTAGTTTATAGAACTTAAGGTATTAAATAAAAACAAAGCACACGAATATTCTAAACAGCTAACCACAATTAAGTCTGGCTGACTTCTGACCTCCCTTCACACTATAAGGTATTCACCCACAAACAAATTCAATACAAATAAGGTATAAGGCTTCAGGCAATGGAATATATTAGTATATCTGATCCCACCAATTAAACAAAAGCAAAGTATACACTGCCAATTTGAGACTAGAAAAATACATAAAGAAGAACACTTTGGGCACAAAAAGTTTACCACAGACAAATCCTCCAGGGTAGTGATTTTCAGAATAGCTCCTAATCAAAGTCCAGAAATACTATGTAAAATGCACTACTTTCAAGGTTGCCATAAAGAGGCAAAATGTATATATTTAAATGTATCATCTTGAATGATTCTTATTTTCAGACAAAAATCAAACTCATAGGCTCGGCGCCCACAGCTCACTGAGTAGGGCACCAGACACATACACCAAGGCTGGTGGGTTCGAGCCCAGCCTGGGCCTGCTAATGGACAGACAACTGCATCCAAAAATAGCCCGGTGTTGTGGCGGGCGCCTATAGTCCCAGCTACTCAGGAGGCTGAGGCAAGAAAATTGTTTAAGCCCAGGAGTTTGGGATTGCTATGAGCTGTTGACACCACAGCACTCTACCAAAGGCAATATAGTGAGACTCTCAGGAAAAAAAAAATCAAACTCATATTGGTAAACATAAAAGTAATTCTACTTTAGTTTTTCAAACAAGCTTTATTTACTCAGAAATGATGACTTATAAGCATCCAGGCTTGCATTCTCAACTTCTTTACAAGCTCTAAGAATTAACTCAGACTTGCGCCCATCTTTAAAAGTGAATCATGAAGCAGCTGTGGATAGCTGATTAAAGGATTACTTCTTGCTACTAAGTGTGTTTCTCAGATTCACAGCAAAAGTATCACCTGGTAGCTTGTTAGAAATGCGGTATCTCAGGTAGGACTACCCTAGACCTACTTATTTCGGACTAAAAAACAAATCCCCTCAAAATTCATGTATTAAAACAATCACCAATATGTATTTCACGGTAGGGACTTTGGGGAGACAAATAAGGTCAAAGGAGGTCATAATGGTAGGGCCCTAATCAGAAAGGTCTAATGTCCTTATAAAAAAAAAGTCAGAACTACTATCATAAAAGAAGAAGAGACCATTAGCCCACCACTGCCCTCCCGGACCCTCCAGCCAAAAGGAAGGAACATGTGAGGGAGAGTTCTCATGACTTAATCACTTCCCAAAAAGGATTCACCTCTTAATACTACCACAGTGGGGATTAAGTTTCAACATCAATTTTGGAAAGAGCCATCATTAAAGCCATGGCAGTGGCCATTAAATAATTTTGATGAATAAACAAATGTGTAGGACTAACTATATAATAGCATCAGTGCCAAACAATATCATCCCAAGAACGTCTATCCTCTACCAAGAGCCTACCACCAACAATCCTGACAAGATTTGTCTTAATAATTTAAATACACACTTAAAGAACCAATAGAACTTGAAAAAGAAACATGCACATTAAGCAATTAAGAAAACTTGAATACATACTGAAGTAGTAAAATATTTAGTACGATCTATAAATATTCCAAAATTTATTAGGAAGGACAGGTTTGAACTGCAGCAGGTGTAGAAGGCTCAAAGAAGAAATAATAACAGAATTATGCAATGAAAGCTGCATAAGATGCAAGAAGGCAGGATACCAGCAAAAACAGATTTGGGGTAATAGAAGGATACTAAGGAGATTGGCCAGCAAAGGAGAATCCTAAGAAGTAATCTAGACAGACTAATTTCACTACATCTAATCATGATCATAAACACCTCCAAATAAACTTTTTATAAAGAAAGACATCATGCTAGGCAGTAGTATTATACTGAATTGGAAACAGGTTCAAGTGTAGTTCTTATTATTTCACCTAATTTTTTTAGGAATCAAGTTCCTGAGTGATAAAAATAAAAAAGTTGAATCAAATGTAGATAACCACTACATTTACTTTAGCCCTGGCATTCTGTGGATCTATTTACTTGTTTATTGAGACAAAATAAATCAAACTAAACTCCTAAAACCAAACAAAAAAAATTACATGCAACATACAGCATGGAGGTATATAACAGACATGACAATCAAGTAGATAGAAAAATTAAGATTATCCAGATAAGAAACAGTTGTACCTCTAAGTCTTTTTAGGCTTCTTAAAGGAATAATTTGTGTCTGGTTTATTTTAAAATACAATCAAAGTAAATATTAACCATAATTTTTTAACTAACCTAGAGTTTACAGTAAATTTTTCAAATATCACCCTTCCTCAGGTCTTAAGTTTTTATGCTAATAGTGTAAAGGATAATAGTTTCATGCATACTGCAGGAAAACTTTTCATCTCTTTTATTATAATCAAGTCCCTACATACTTTTGCAGGCTGTTGCCATAACCTTGAGAAAATATGTTCACCTATATGTTCTTTGTAGTTAGAGCTTCCTAGGCAAGGAGAAAATGATACATATTATTGAAAAGAAAAATGTATTTTGCTCAGTGGGTGCTCTTGAAAGAAGGAAATCTTTTATCTCTAATAATTTTAGACCTTTAAAACAATGGGATTTGCTTCATTTTCAAGAGTTATCACTATGTTTTAAAACAGGAGTAATATTCATTAGCCCCTACCCCAGGCACATCAATTAAGTTTGAGTAGCCTACATATATACATTTATACTTATATATCTACTTATATACACATAAATAAGTACATTTTTCAACATAAGTATATATGTACATATATAAGTACATTATTCTTTTCAATATAAGTATATAAGTACATTTTTCATAAGTATATATGTACATATATAAGTACATTTTTCTTTTCAATATAAGTATAAATGTATATATGTAGGCCACTCAAACTTAATTGATATGTCTGGGGTAGGAGCTAATGAATAATACTCCTGTTTTAAAACATATTGATAACTCTTGAAAATGAAGCAAATCCCATTGTTTTAAAGGTCTAAAATACATATATACTAATATAATTGAGTTTGAGTAGCCACACGTAGGCAACTCAAACTTAAATATATAGTTGTTGTTGTTTGGGGTTTTTTGGTTTTGAGACAGAGTCTCACTATGTCACCCTCAGTGGAGTGACATGTCATCACAGCTCATAGCAACTTCAAACTCTTGGGCTCAAGTGATCCCCTTGCCTTAGTGTAGCAAGCAGCTGGGACTACAGGCACCCACCACAATGCCCAGCTATTTTTAGAGACAGGGTCTCACTCTTGCTCAGGCTGGTGTCAAACTCAATGAGCTTAGGCAATCCACCCACCTCAGCCTCCCAGAGTGATAGGACTAAAACAGGCGTGAGCCACGGCACCTGGCCTAGCCAAAAAGTTTATTTTTCCTTTTTACACTAAGCATGGTTTTTTCAAAGTAGTCTGCAAATTATTTGCAAAGGAATTTTTCATTTTTTCCAAAGAAAGAGTAACATTGACTCAAAAACATCAAAACAGCTATTAGAGAATGTGGGTCACTTATTTTTTAAAAAGAACAAAGTTCATATTTAAATAGGGTTTATTCATAAGCTAAGGTGACTGCCTATGCCAAATTCATCTTTAATTCGCAGAACAATTAAGGGGAATTTCAAGATTTTTTTACAATTCAGATTACACACACATCTACCTGAAAATAGTGGTTGTTAAATGTTCATTTCTACAATGTATCAGAACACATGCTAAGTACAAAAAAATAGAACAAAGTTGTCAACAAAAGGATGCATGAAATTAAGTCCATTTTAAAAAAAACTATAACTAGTATTTTCTTATTACAAACTCTATATACTTTTTCAGATCTACAAAGAAATTAGTGGTTAAAAAGAAGTATATTTTAAAAATCATTATTATATAAGTAAAGCTATTAACAAGGAAGAGGATACAAAGGTACAAGAATGGGACACATTTCACGTGTTTTGTGTACCTTCGTAAACATCTCTCCACACACAAAAAATTACTATCTCATTACCAATGAAAAAAGAGGAATTCAAAAGTTAAATAATCCATCTAATATCACAGAGCTAAAATGAAGCAAATAAAAAATTATATCCACTCCTAGTATATTATACTCACTTTTAAGCTTTTTATCTTTCCACCATAGCATGCTACTCCTTTACAGATTACAAACTGCTTTTAACATAGCTCTTGAAGTCGTTACACTGGATTCTTATTCCCGCAAAATACCATGTACTTGCTTATTTCCATGGGTCTGCCAAAGATTGCTATCCAACCTAGAAGGCTATACTCCCCAATTTTCATGTGAATTATAGATGTCCTACCTAAAGAAAAGCTTAACTACAGCTTTCCTGACAACTCCAGTATAGAACTGCCCCTTCATCTAAATCATCACCACCCATTATGTCTCTAACATAGTTCTGAACAGTATTAAATATAATAATAATTTCAAGCATTTATCAAGCACTTATAATTACTTAGCACATTAATCCTCTAACACGCTCTGAGATAATTATTACTATCATCCCCATTTTGTAGCAACTTAATATTCACCTTCGCTGAACTATGAGTTGTGAATCATGATCTGTACCTAGCATCATGTGGCAAACTTAACTGCCTACATCAATACTGTTTCCCATGATCATGATCATAGTACCCACAGACATTAAAGCATAGGACACAAAGGTGTCCAAGAATGTCAGGAAACCTTTTAAGAGTTTTGTATTTTTCTCTTTTTTTTGAGACTGTCTCACTACATCACCCTTGGTAGAGTGCTGTGGCATCACAGCTCACAAAACCTCAAACTCTTGGGGCTTAAGTGATTTTCTTGTCTCAGCCTCTCAAGTAGCTGGGACTAGGTCTCACAATACCTGGCTATTTTTTTGCTGTTGTTGTTGCAGTTGTCATTGTTGATTAGTTGGCCCA